GTGTTCCTTTATTTGTTTCTCTACGTATATATGTTACAGGGAATGTGTTAAACCAGGGATTTCACAAAATCACTGTGACCCCCAGGGATTTCATGTATTCCCTAAAATTTCCAGGGATTGCATGAAATTACTGATTTTATTGGTGTTCCATTACACACATTCCCTGTTAGGATATCAGTGAATGTGTGAAATTAATGTTTGTAGCTTAAAACTTTACTGTTGAGTCTCATTTCATCCCTTAGTTCTTTGGTGTTGAAAACTTTGACAATTTACCGATGACACTTTTGGCTAATTACTACCTTGAGTCGGGATACCAAGTTAATTTTCTCACGGCTTTACTGTTTAGTCTCATTTCATCCCTTAGGTCTTAAGAGTTGAAAACTTTGACTATATACTGATGACACTAAGTCAAGCTAGGAGAGGGAAATTACCGGGTTTCGATAATATTCCAGTTGATTTTTTGACAAATGACATCTGTATAGATTATCTTCATAAACTGTTTTCTACATGGTCATGTACCCTCCAACTGGGCCCAGGGGATCATTACCCCTACCCCTAAGTCTGGAGCTGACAACCTGAGAGACCCAATGTCTTATCGCAGCATCACACTAGTGCATCTTATTGTTATGATGAATAATTTAATCAATATTCTTTTTGTAGTTTCAAATGTTACAGACTTTGTTTTTATCGATTTCGTTTATAAATGGAAACAGGACCTTTTACAAGTTGGTAGTTTAACTGGTAGGGGAGGTAATAAGTTACACACGTACTGTACTTTAAAGGTGGATTTTTGCAGTGATTTTTATGTTAATTGTAATGTCTCGCTCTATGAGAAAAGCAATAGCTTTGTTTAGATGTGCGGTAGATGAGTGTCATGTTTTATTGCATTGTCCTTTGTATGCTGATGAGCGATTGCAACTTATATATAAATGTACAAGTCTTTTAGATGTTTTTTTGAAAATCTGGGTATGTTGAAAAGTTAGTTTTCTTCTAGCTTGTCCAGGTGTAACATTTTTATCTGCCAAAATCTGCCTTAATATTCTTAAAAAGCGTACTGCAAATTTGTATATATCTTCTTAATGTAACTTGTACCCTTATTATTGCATTTTTAATATTCATATATTATACTCTGTATATTGTGGCACAAGTGTTTCTCATAATTCCGTATGGAATGGATCAACATTTTACTGTGATATAGCATTTAAAACATTAGCGAGGTTTTTCAAACATTTTGGGTTTTTTATTGAAAACATACGTTAAGTTTAAACAGACTCGACCATTCATAGAAATAACTTGGAATATACATCATCCCGCTGTTGAAGAAGAGCTTTGGGATATGGGTTTAGGAAGGAAAAGGTATTTTTCAAACCATATATTTCATGTTTGTCCTCAGCGTCTTCTTTCTACGAATGATGTGACAATGGACAAAGAACTGTTTCTCCACACAGCTGTGATTTTCGAGTCGAATTGTGGTGGTCAGGGTTTCCAGAAACGTAACTGTTGTCCTAACCAGTGTAAATCAATACGTTGTAAATGTTTTAAAGTGCTACTGAAGTGTAATAGCTTGTATGATAACACTCTATCTTGTCCCAACAAATGCATTTTATCAGGAAATACTCTGTACTCGCATTATAAATTTGGTGTTCTCTATTTCAATAAGGGCTTACAGGGATTTCATGAAATCACTGAGCTAATATTTCAGTAATTTCATGAAATCACTGGAATACATGAAATCCCTGGGGGTCACAGGGATTTCATGATATCACTGACTCTCTCAGGGATTACGTGAAATCCCTGGTTTCACACATTCCCTGTAACATATATTCAAAAGGCTAAGCTTAGTCTACATTCTACACCCATACCTAATGGTTCCAGTCTCTGACCAGGGCGGATAAACATGATAAAGCTGTTGGTTACAACAGCCTTTGGTCAGGAGAAGCAGCCTAGGTCCTGTTATTGTAATGTAAGTGGCCTGATGGTCAACTGGACTCAAAATATTATTCACTGTCCTCATTTCTGCAAGTACATTACAAGTATATGTATTTAAGCTGTAAGGAAGGTACCACAATGCATTCTAATATACTTTTAACCCATCAATTGTCACCTATTCCACCACATCTATTTGTTGACAGATTATCATGTCATTATACCATACATCCTGATGTATGTCACGTACTATGACCACCTGCAACAGTCAGCATGTGCATATAACATCTGTAAGTGTCACAATTATTTACCTAACACTGCCATATAGCTAGAATATTGCTGAGTGCGGCGTTAAAAAACAAACAAAACATTACCTAACAGGACACTCATATTTCACGCAAGGACCCTTGAACATGTTGAAATTAGAAATTGGGGGTCCTAAAGACCCCAGGTAGAATCCTGGCATGGTCTGGTGAAACATGATATAACATGCACATTGCCTGCTAAAACATCACAGTCTTGTATAACCTGAGCACAGACTGATAAAACATCATTGTCTGATTTAACATCAACATGGTCTAACATCAACATAATCAAAACAGGGAGAACACATTTATCAAAACTGCTAGTCTATCAATATCATCTGTCAGCTTTCACTATCATCAATGTATCGGAAGTTCCACCCTATGATACAATACACAACACACCTTCTCACTCTGTATCTACTGACTTTGTAAAAGGTTATATCTACCTATTAAGCCATAATCTGCCAGATCACACCCCATTAACATCAAATTATTCAGGAAAGCATTACCTAACTGAATCCATATGAAACAAAACACTTAGTTTGATTGTCTGAAAACCATTTAATAGCAGATTAGAATGATCCTATAATTAACCATTCATGAAAGTTAAAGCCAACTAGTTGCTAGCAACTCCTGTTTGTGTTTGTCAAGCCATATGTCAAGCCAAATTTCATGAAAACTCGGAACCAACATTAATTATTGCGATATGTATGATATGCAAGGTAATGTATTATGATGCCTCTGTCTACAGTTACTTCACATCTTAATTTGACATCAATGTAAAATGGCCACCTCAGGAATCATCACATAACTTCAATGGTTTCATCCATCATTACCTCCTTAGACTGGTCACTGCAATCAATGCATGTCATAGTGACCTCCCAGTTATGATTGATATGCAAACTGATCACAATACCTGGCGTTTAACAGATAAACAACATTTCTAGGAAGGCTAATTTTGACACAGCCATGCTGACCAGTGAACACTTTTACCATGCTACACAGTTGTAGAATAAAACTTTCTCCATTTACATGAGACAACATAAAGACACTTCATGCAATACACTGCTAAAATTAAGTAGTTTTATAAGATTTGCAAAGCCATTAGGAAACCATGCAGGAAGGTAACAAATTTTCAAGGAAAATATATATCATTTACATGATTTAGGAAGTGATAACTGACATTTCACATCTGAATGTTATGTAACAACATTTTGTACTCGTGCAATGTACAACTCATGACGATCCAGGTTAGGCATCCAGCAACCAAGCTTGTCCTAGGAGGTGAGTAACAATATCAGGATGTGAAGAATATCTGTCATCTTACTCCAGTTGTGTACAGCGATGCAAAAGATGTCAATCACTGTCTTGTTTGGTCCAGACTAATATTTTCAGCCAGGAATAATGCTGAGTGCACATTCAACAACAAATACCTCTGTCATAGATTTCTATTCCTATATACATAACATTCATGTTATGATTTACTGTTACACTAACAGTACTGGTGCAAACATGCACTCTATGCTGAAACCTTTGGAGCCCACAAGCCCGAACTTGCTGATCTTACTAATCTGAACAAAGTTATAAGACTCACTTCAGACTAGTGACTTGAGTCACAGATCTGACATGTTACAGAAGTGCAAGTGGAAACCACTACTACAATATGAGATTCTGATTTTTCCCTCATAGACACAAAATTTCAAATCAAGTGATATTTACTGTTCCTACCAGCACTGAAAAACAACTCACTCATTAGATTATTGTCAGCGATTAGTTAAGTTGGTATGGTTCATTTCTTCAGTCAAAAGTCTGGTTTTGCTCCAGACTTATATAAACTTATATAATTCAGGCCGCGAGTCAAGTGACCTGTGAAGCTGTCACATTCCAGTGAGGTGACCAGTTAATTCCAGACAGAACTACACTGCCATCAGACAAGCATGCTAGAGTATAATATGGCAAGCCATATTTAGCCCATGGCAAATTTCTGGGGGCACAAACTGTATCCAAAACATGATGGTATCACAGTATGTGTTTGTAACAATGTGTAATGTATAATACAGGGTAATAATCAGAGTACTTAAGAAATAGTCAAAAGATACACTTCTAGTATTTTTCGGAAAGACTTCCGCCCGTATCCCCCTTTAGATTTCATTCTAGTCAAATCATATCACCTGAATATTATATATTGCTCATCTGATAAGGATGAGTTTTAACATGTTAGTTTAATTGTATCTAAACATACCGAAAGACATATCCAACTTCTAAAAATGAGACCCAAAGAAAATTTTCCCCATCGTTAAAATTTAAGGGGGATATGGGCGGAAGTCTTACCAGACAAATCTCATATACAGAAAGTCCTCAGTAATACTCACCATGTTAACTATAATTCTAAGTATTGCATGAATATTTATTGTAACAAGGGTAGCAGATGTACATGACAAGGATGTCCACAAAATCAGAGGTGTTGTCACATAGAAATGTAATTAGATCTAGCACTGCAGTTCTCATCAAAGTTGTACTTAATCCGCATCTGTGAAGAAATGACAAAACCACCACTTTGAACACATGTGTGCGCTAGGAACAGTTAAACCAACAAGGACTCTGAGAAGTGTTGGAATTTGATGCAAAGCGATTAGTATGTGTTCCATGAGTAGTCATTTATCCCCGGCGAAAGCAAGGACTAGCACGTAATAAAACACATTGCATGCAAAATATACATGAAATACCAATGTAGGTCACTGATCATCTGTAGATTAGTGACATACGAACCTTAAGTTTCTTGAGGTATCCCATTCTTCTAATATCCGATCCCGGTCTTTCAAAAGCTTGAGGAAAGATCCGACCCTTGTCAAACCGTTCCGAGGCCATGTTTCGATCTATTTCGACTTAACTTTAGCGAATGTTGGCTTTAGATTCGATCAGTCGTTATCAAACTTGGTTCTTATGACAAATTGTGCCATTTCGTCACCAAAATCTCGCCCTGTTTCAAATGCCCATCTCACAGGTGGGTCAATGCCCGATCACATATTAGGCCAGTTAGTGCAGTCATTTGCTAGCCCATCCTCATCACCTCAATCCACATCGAGATTGCAGAATCCATTTTCAGTCCTGCAACATCGTTGTCAACTCACATCATGCATCTAGCAACGAATTCAAATTGTAACGCATGCATCTCATTGCGGATATTACACTGGCTTTGACTGCAAAACACACGAGCTTTCTCTGTCACAACTCAAGGACGACTCAGCTAATGGCCGCCATCATGGTCACGTGGGCTACATTTTGCTTGTAAACAACTTTTGAGCATGCGTGAATTGAAGGTCACGGGGTCAACTAGTACATTTCATTCACGGTGCAGGTCTTGATTATTCCACCGTTTACATTCCGTAAGCTGTCACGTAAGGTGACTTTTCCTTATGGCAGATGGCTTTCCGTCTTATTTTATGAGCCAGATATCATGTTTACAGCAACGAACACAACCTACTTCCAGCAAATTGAGTGACATGTTGATTTTGTGTTATCGAAAAGATATCGACATATCTGCAAAGGACACCATTTCCCACCTGAACATTGCACACAACCAAGAATCTACATGTGAAATATACGGTATTTCAGAGTCAGCTTATGTTTTGTGATGAACAACATTCTGGGTGCTGAGTAAATTTTATGATGCACATTTTGATAAGATCTAAAATATTAATGTTGAGCGAGAATATTGCAGTCGCGCGGAACTGGATGCAACTCTACTACCCACGCCTTATAACCTTCTCCAGGATGTTAACTCAGCAGTATATGCTTTAGAACTAGTTAATTAAAAAATTGTTTCATTTGCTGGGAATGTGCAGTGGATAACGACTATATATATTATATATACTCAGCAGCCAAAAAACCCCGTCAGTACGAATTCAAAATTAGATAGGCACTGTAAACAAATCATTACAAAAATGGACATAATAAGCGGATCAAAACCATTTTTTGAGTACAATATCTTGACACATCAATGAATAACTCAGTACATTTTCAAGACATTACGCGAACGAAGCAGTCAATTCAGACTCTTGACTTCAATATCTAGTGTGACCACCACGAGCGGCAATAACTGCAGCACAGCGTCTATGCATGGAGTGCACCACTCGATTGATGAAGGCCATTGGCACCTGGAACCACACTCTGAGAAAGGCCTTGCGCATTAAATCGGCTGTGTTCGGCCTAGGTATGACATTATTCATGCAGTCTCCACTGAATTTCATCCCAAAGATGTTCAGTTGGGTTTTAATCAGGACTAAGGGCTGGTCACTGCATAATGTTAACACCGTTCTGCTGTAGGAAGTCCCGTGTAGCTCTGGCAATATGGGCCCGGGCGTTATCATGCTGGAAAATGTTGTTCCGGTGACGTGGGAAATGTGGTATGATGTGAGGTCTGAGAGCTTTGTCGATGTACACAGCGCACTGCTGTGATGCCGCCTCCTCTCCCTGGACCAAGGTTCTGGAACACCACATGACACACTCTCTGGTTCAGGAAAAGGCGACTATGCTTGTCGTAAGAGGCGACTAACGGGATCGGGTGGTCAGGCTCTCTGACTTGGTTGACACATGTCATCGGTTCCCAATTGCGCAGATCGATGCTCATGCTGTTGATCACTGGATTGTCTGGTCCAGACTCGATTATTTACAGACCGCCGCCATATAGCTGGGATATTGCTGAGAGCGGCGTAAACCTAAACTCACCTCACGAGCTCTGGTTCAGGCCTATTCCACCCCATACCATGATGCTTGCACCTCCCCATTAGTCTCTTTCCATAACACATTGGTCTGAGTAACGCTGGTCACGTCGTCGCCATATTCTTGTTCTGCCATCTGCCGTTGATACGCAGTACCGACACTCATCTCTGAAGAGAACAGCTCCCCATTGCCTGTATCGCCAGTTTTGGTGTTGTAGGGCAAACTGCAGACGTTCACGTCGATGACAAGGGGTGAGGATAGGTCCACGGTAAGTTCTACGGCAATGGAGGTTCCCGCTGTTATGTTACGTCGGCGTACTGTATCAGTACTGATTGGTCTTCCTTGTGTTCCCACTGTCTGGCGTGCTGTTTCAGATGCCTGCATGAAGGGATTCTGTACATGCTGTCGCACAACATGGCGGTCTTGTCGTCTTGTGGTCACCCTTGGTCTGCCAGTACGGGGGAGATTATTTGTGGTGTTGGTGGCCCGGAAACGTTGCTGCAGCCTGTAGATGGTCCGAACGTTGACCTGGATGTGATTGGCAACGGCTTGTGCAGTGTGCCCAGCTTCAAGTCTTCCTAGCGCCTGGTTCGTCTGAACTGTCGTGAGTCGCGGCATCCTGCTGACGTTGTAATGTGACTGTTTCAACCAGGTTTGGGGGTGCATTTTATAGGGCTTGTCCATGTGAACAGCACGTGCAGCATGAGTTGCATGAAAAACATGGAGAACACCGTACCATCTCCGAGATCAGGTTGCATTTTTGAGACCATTTCCTGGGTTCAATGCTGAGTTTGGGAAGGAATGTCTTTGCTCAGGTAAAGTTGGAGATGTTGTCAAAATATACAATCAAAACATTAAATGAGTTTACAGTTATCCGTTTATGTGAAGGAAAATTCCAAACTGACGTTTCCTTTGCTGCTTAGTATATATTCGTATATCATGTTTACGTGTTGTTTAGTTACGTCATCACTAATCATAAGAAAAGGTGATATCGTAAATGGAAACGGAAGTAATAGCCCAAGTAATGGTCCTAACATATAAATTAGTGCCTAGATGAACGCATTCACCTGATTTTGGAAGATAAATTTGACTCATGTTGCACATATATTACTGGAGGAGTATTAACCTTATCATCTAATGAAATAAGTTCCTGAAAATATTTTATATCAGATAATATTTTTCCTTGACGTCATGGCTTGTTTTATGTCTTTGGCGACGTCAAAGGAAGACGACATTTTTATGCTAATTAATGTATCCCATCTAATTGTCGCATAAGTCAAAACAACTCGATTCGTAAAACAGAATTTGAAGCTTTTGAACATATTATTACATTGTTGCTTAAATCATGTAAATAACAGCATAAAATAGAAATAGAAAGTGAGTTTGTTCATTATTATTTGACGAGACACGCACCTGTTGGATATATACAAGATTAAATATTACATAAATATACCAAATGCTCAAAAGGTAATCTAAAATGCAATTTAACATCATGTGAGCGTGCGTTTCATTATATTTTCTTCTTGAGTGGGCCAGTGGCATATAGAAGTTGGTGAGATGAACAACGGGGAGAATTATATGGATATACAACTTCTTTATTATTAATATGAGCGACGTTTCGGTGTAGCTACTAAAAACTTAGTACTAACACCGTTATCAAGATAATGATATATTGTGGGTTTTTTTTCTATATTTTGTATTTTACACGTAAGTTTTACACCTTTACTTTCTAATTAAAGATACTACGAACCTCCTTTTTAAAATTGAATTATGGGGACAATTCCTGCGCGACACGCTCAGCGGATTAATTTTTCATATTTGGATGGACTTAATGTAAACATACAAACATCCTTTGATACAATACATCAATCACGGTACACGTATACTGTCAATCGAAGGACCGAAAAGAATTGATAACAAGCCATCAAACAAACAAACGAAAAACCAACATTTGTGCGGGCTGACGATATGTGCAAACATTTAATTGAACTTTTTTATAAATAATATTTTATATTTTAGCTGAAACATAAGATGAAACGGCGTTTACGTCTGAAGATAGAAAAATAAACAGCACATTCGTTTCTGTTAAACAAAAATCAAACAAACGTTGGATTATCAAGGTTTCAAGAAGTTTGCGGCCCATTACATGACAGTTATATTAACAGTAGTACTTTGTACTATAAGTACAAAGCAATCTTAATCCATTGTATGATTTATAACATGAAAAACATTACAAACGTTTGCAAATTATTCATGAGGATTCAACGGTAAAACAGTAATCGTGAGTGAGCAGCCGTTTAAATGACGCGTTCAACAGTTTTTCAGTTATTTCATTGCTTGTCAACATATCGTGTGAGGAAGGCCCAAAGTGAGGCAACACTCACATATATGTTCCTCCTTTGTGAAACCCACAAGGACTGTATTGCGCTGGCAACCCTAGACATGTATTCAGGGCGAACCGGGGTACGTTGCAGTTATTTTCCTAAAACAACGTAAATATTTTGAAAAGTGTTTGATTGTGACTTTCAAAGTGAAAATTGTATCCTGGGTTATTCATGGGGTACTATTATTATTATCATGAACTGTTGTGAAAACAGTCGACACATGTCTCACTGACGTCAAGGCATAAGTGTAGAACGTCGAAGAAGAAAAACAACAGTCATTGTAATAACAATATATGTTTATTACGGGGTCTTGTATGCGTACGTCACACATGTGTTGTATAAGGCAGGCAGAAACTTTGGTGTTATTTTTCTATTCTTGAACATAACAACACTCCTTCTAAAATGCCCATCAAAGAAACACCTTCGAGATAAACACTTTGTTTAGCAAGATCGTCACGTCACACGCATCAAACTTGCTTGGCATCGATGCTAGATCGATGCTAGATCTACTACTGCGGACATCAAGTAATCGAGCTGTATCAATTTCACATGATATGCTACCAATTGATTATGCTCCATATCATGAGATGTACCCGACCACTTTCCCTATTCCTAATTTGATTTACGCAATATAAAAATCAAGCGCGGCGAAATGAAGCCAGTCAGCTTGTTTGTTTGTTGTTTAACGCCGCACTCAGCAATATTCCAGCTTTATGGCGGCGGTCTGTAAATAATCGAGTCTGGACCAGACAATCCCGTGAT